GTGTCCCACGGCAGCACCCCTTTGAACCAAATCCTAATATACCTAATCAAACAGAGCCTCCCCTCGGGCCATCACACTGCTCCCGTCTGATCTCCGTTCCATTTTTCTTTAATCTCTTATTCTCCATCACGTGAATAATCTATCTTTGACCAAAAGAGCGGTGCGACGTTGTACACCCAAAATCTTTTCTTCCACTTCAATTCAAACCAAGTTGAGAAAATAGCTGGAAATTGAAGCTGATCATATAGTTCATGGAGTCAGCTTCAAGCAGAGATGCACCCGACTCAAATAGAACAACACAGTTACAGCCACAACTACAAGAAGGAGAATCCTCGGCCCCAGCTCCCCTGAGCCGCTATGAGTCACAAAAACGCCGCGACTGGAACACCTTCTTACAGTATTTGAGAAACCACAAACCGCCGTTAACTCTAGCGCGATGCAGCGGAGCACACGTCATAGAGTTCTTGAAATATCTCGACCAGTTCGGGAAGACCAAGGTCCACATAACGGGCTGCCCGTACTTCGGGCACCCTAACCCTCCCGCCCCGTGCGCGTGTCCGCTTAAACAAGCATGGGGTAGCCTCGACGCGCTGATCGGAAGGCTGAGAGCCGCGTACGAGGAGAACGGCGGACGGCCGGAATCTAACCCGTTTGGGGCGAAGGCGGTGAGGATTTACTTGAGGGAAGTGAGGGAAGGGCAGGCCAAGGCGAGAGGGATTCCTTATGAGAAGAAGAAGCGGAAAAGGCCTACGGTTACAGCCGGGAATGTGTCGGTGGCGGGGAGTCAAGGGGTGGATCCTAGTGGTACTAGTGGTGGAGTTGGTGGCGGAGGAGAAGATATCAGTGGCGGCAGCGGAAGTGCTCCTCCACCTGCTACAGCTACTACAAATAGCGTATAGTGCAGAATTTTATTCTTTTTACTTTAATGGCTAGCTCTTCTAAATGCGACTAATTTATATGCTAATTCTATGATGCTCTCCATTTGATCATTCACCAATATGAACTAAATTAACCCAAAAATTCAAAAAAAAAAAAAAAGAGTTAATTATTAATTCTCTTCTTAATTCCCTTCTGTGTGCTCAGTCCTTCTATGCATATTATATATTATACATGCTAATTAACAAAACCTAAACAAGAAGGTGTAAGAAGTTTTAATCTTTACTTATTATATATATCGTCAATTTTTCCTCCCTTTTGGTGACTAATGAAGTCGTTACTTTGCATTGGTATGATCATAAAATATATATTGTAATTTGGGTTTTATGTTTTTTTTTTTCCTTCTTTGGACCTGCAGGCAATCTCATATTAAGATAATTACTTACATGTTATACTCTATTGTAATTGGCCATATATATATATATATCCCATGACGTTGAAAAAGAAATTAACAGATTGATGACTAGTTACTACAATATATTAATCTCAACCTACAGTTGTTAGTTATATATATCAGCTGAAATTTTTAATGATCTTTAATTTTCTCTCCATTGTTATTGTTGCTAAAGACTTATTAGTTTGAAGACTGCAGGCTTGTTGGGAAGAATTAATGGGCCGAAAATGGCAGCAGTAAAGTATTATATATACGCCCAAATTAATGTTTAATA